GTGTGTGTGTGTGTGTGTGTGTGTGTGTGTGTTTGTGTTGGGGAGGGGGACAGCTGTCACCTGTAGTCCCGGAAGGTGTAGGCGGGGGGCTCCTTGATGCATACGAGGGCCTCGGCGTTCAGGATGCAGTTGTCCACGTGGACTGGGTGGCTGCTGTCCTTCCTCTCAGCCTGTGCCTCTGGGGCCGGGGTAACGCACATTAACGCGGGGACACCTCAGGAGACACTGCAGCTCTCCTGTTGGCATGGGGGGGTACTTCCCCAAATGTGTCTGGGTCTATGGAAATGGCCAATGAACTAGGGGGCTCTCTGGCTCAGCCACCAGCCCAGAGGCCAGGACAAATCTGCAGGTTTCCCAGGAAGGTTCTTGGTGGGGCAAACAGGTGCAGCAAGTAGGGTCAGGAGGCTCTAACCAAGGGGCAGGTTCTGGGCTGAGCTGCACGACCCCAGCTTTCTGGCTACAATACAAAACAGGAACCCCCAGGTAAGTAAAAATGAGGAGTCAGGAGGGTGGTAGGATGCAGGCAGGGTACGGTGAGACTCCATATGCAGTGGGAGACAAGGTGAGGACGGCATGGAGGGGGAACAGGTAGGAGCAAAGGTAAAGAGTTAGCAGGGTGCCTGGGTGGCTCAGTCAGTTGAGCGTCTGACTTTGGCTCAGGTCATGATCTCACGGTTAGTGGGTTCGAGCCCTGCGTGGGGCTCTGTGTTGACAGCTCAGAGCCTGGAGCTTGCTTCAGATTCTATGTCTCCCTCTCCCTCTCTCTCAATCAATCAATCAATCAATCAATCAATCAAAAGGTAAAGAGGTAGTCTCAGTAGGGCTTTGCAGGTGGAGGAGCCATGCAGGAGGAAGGTCGTGAAAGAGAGCAGACGGCACGTACTCTAGGACACCAGGCAAGCGCGCACATCACACAGAGCCATTGCCCCCAGCGCAAATGTCTGGCATGCCCTGAGCAGGCTGGTGGCCCTGTCAGGTCACCATAGATTCCTCCTACTTGTCCCCACCTGTGCAGCCAGTCATCAGGCCCTGTCCCTCCACCTCCTACACCCCCCTCTCGTCTTCCCTTCTCTTTACTCCCAACACCACCTGCCAGCTCTAGGCCTTTGTCCTCACCCACCCAGGTCACGGCTGACCGGCTTTCCTCCCTCTGGCTTGATCCATGCCCTCCGAATCTCTCAACACAAAGCAGCGAAACTAACCTTGTAAAAAAGAGGTCTCACTGAGTCCTTCCTGCTTGATGACTCTTCCCAGCTTCCCACTGCCCATGCCCCCAGCTTGGGATGCCGTGACACATATAGTTGTGTATCTGACACATTCCTTTGGGTGTGTCCAGATTTTGATAGAAATCCAAACCTTCCGGGGGAGAGTAAAGCTCTCTAATCCCTACCACCTAGCCACAGTGCATCAGTGCGGAGAGCCTCTGAAGGCTGTGGCACGACAGATCTAGCTGTAGGCCACGTGTGACCCCCGGTCCCCTCCACGGGCACTGGCCATCCCTCACCCCTCCTCAGGACAGCAAAAGGGATAGAAGAGAGGGCGAGCGGGCAAGGAATGACCTTGAATGTGCTCTGACTTGGTTTTTGTTTTGTTTTAAAGATTTTATTTTTAAGTAATCTCTACACCCACTGTGGGGCTTGAACTTACAATCAAGAGCTGCATGCTTGGGGTTCCTGGGAGGCTCAGTCAGTTAAGCATCTGACTTTGGCTTAGGTCACGATCTCATGGTTTGTGAGTTCAAGCCCCGCATTGGGTGAGCTTGAGTTTTGGGCTCTGCGCTGACAGTGCGGAGTGTATGTGGGATTTTCTCTCCCTCTGGGATTCTCCTCTCTCCCTCTCTCTGCCCCTCCCTCACTTGTGCACTCTTTCTTTCTCTCAAAAAAAAAAAAAAAAAAAAAAAAAAAAAAAAGAGTTGTACGCTCTGACTGAGCCAGCTGGGTGCTCCTTAATCTTCCTTGATTTATAAAATTAGATCTCTCACAGATTTGGTATTTAACAGGTGGTGACGGAGAACTTGCGACTTAGCTCATGATTGATCTACACACCTGTACGTCCAACACCACTGCTGAGAACCAATGGCCTACAGGATGAAAACCAAGTCCTGAATGTAGTTCTCCATAATCTGGCTTCTGAAGGCCTCCCCAGTCTTATCTGACTACCCCAACTTCACCCCCACTCCCCAGAAACGGCCACTTTCTTAGCCCCATCACCAGGTTGTCCAATGCCTGCCCTCGTTTGCACATGCTGTTCTCTCTGGCTTAAACAACCTCTCATCACCTGCGCACTCCACAGCTCCTATTCATCCTGCACAACTGTCATCACCTCCTCCGGGAAGCCCTCCTGTCCTCCCAGTTGACTGTAACTTCCTGGGCTGCACTGATCGCACTGGGCTGCCACTTTCTGGTTCCCCAACTAGGATGAAAAGGACCTTGTCCTGTTCCTCCCCACGTCCTCGGCACCAATGCCAGGGCACAGAGCGTGTGCAGTGAGAGCGGCAGGGATGGAGAAGGCCCACCTTCGATGGCGGTGCGGCACACCAGGTGGGAGTAGGAGAAGTAGAGGGGGGTGTCCAGGCGGAAGTAGGACTCCATGACGCGCCGCACCTTCTCGGTCACGTTGTAGTACAGGTGGGCGCTCTGCAGGGGAACCTTCCCTTCCTGTCCCAGCTGCCAAGGAGACCAGTGGTCGGCTGCCCTGAACGCCCGTCTGTGGGCTGACGGGACCCACTGAGGCAACAGGCCCCCCTCCCTGTCCCTCGCCCAAAGTGCCAACGCTGCACCCATGCACAACGGCCCCCCAGTGTTACACCCGCCCCTCCTCCACCCTTCTCTTTATGAACAGTTTGTGCAGCCCTTCAGAAAGCACTCTCCCGGCTCTGGACACCGGTCAGTCTTGCTGCCTCGCTCTGATCACACTGAGTTTACTAGCCAGGACTCAACAGTCCACCTCCCTCAACTTAATTCATCCTGTGACAGGCAGACACCTTCACCTTTCCTGCCTCCACCCCCAACTCTCCCCTCTCCCAAAGCCTGAGCGTCCCCTCTTCCCATCCCCCACACTCTAGAACACTGAGTATTGGTTTTACCTTGAGGGCCTTGAAGACAGTGACTCCATAGAACTTTTCACTGGGGGTGTGTGGGGAGGTCTGACCCCGGTAGCCATCTCCTGAGGTCGCTGCTGCCTACAAGGCCCAAAACACAGGACGTAGACAGGGCAGCTGGGGTGGTTAAGGGTGAGCAGTGAGGGGCACTGGTGCAGAGGAGGCTGGGCCTTGGGGTGAAGGTGCGGTCACCGGGTTTCCCTTACATTCGTAAGTCTCTGCAGCTCTCGGCACTCATCATCGGAGATGACACCATCCATCACCACCCTCTGGGAACCATTCAAGACTTTGGAGTTCATGGTGAGACTGATGCCTTCGTAGAGCAGGGGGCCACCTGCAAAGCAGTCATGAGACTGGGCTGAGACCTGCAGCAGTTCTGTCCAGACACTCTCCATTGGATGGGGATAGAAATTCCAGGTGTTTCCAGGTCACCAGAGAAACCTCCTACTCGGTCACTTCCAAAGGTGGGGTGGCCAGGAGGACAGAACTTGGAGCTGACAAGACAGAAGAGCCAAGCGCTAGTCCTGGCTCCCCTCCCAAACAGTTGTTGGTTCTTGGGCCTTTGCCAATAAGGAAACATCACCAACACATTCCTAAGACTATGAGCCCCAGAATCAGAAAGAACATGCTTATTAGCTGTGTGACCTTAGCAAGTTACTTAACCTCCCTGAGCTCTAATTTCCTCATCTAGAAAATAGCATCTACCTAAGTCTGATGCTTGTTTGATGTAAGAGAACAACAAGGCAAATTAAAAACCTAGCACAGGGGCGCCTGGGTGGTTCAGTCAGTTAAGCGTCTGACTTC